GGCTCCTCTCAACCCTGCAGCCCTGCTCCGTGTCTTGCCCTCAGGGACAGTGAAGCCTTTTGCAGGGTTTCAGAGGTGACTGCAGCCAATGGGGGATTCAGTGTCTCCCTGGCAAATGATTTAAGAGGAATCCAAAAATCCCTCAGGCCTCCAAGATCTCCAACCAACTGCTGTGCTCGAATGTCCCAGCATCAGATTTTGAGGACAATAAATCCCTTCAGGTATAAGCACCTCATTGCTGCCAAGGTAATAATACATTATAAGAGACTAAGTCGGGTTAGGATGGATTAAAGCATTCAACCGACACTGATTATTTCATCCTTAGGATCCGCCACAATATCTGCACCCAGGAGCTCACAGTCTAGCCACAACCACACGTAATGGGCAGGCCCACGGCGCGCAGCTGTTAGAAAGGAGGCCTGCAGCAGGTGTCATTGGAATCCAGACGAGGGTAATTCTTGACCACACGCAGGAAGCAGGGTGCTGAGTGGGACTGGGAAGAGACAGGTACGTTTTAAAGGTGTGTATGTGTGCGTATGTGGGAGCAGAAGGTAGAGCAGATGAAACGGGAAAAGGCTGAGTGCCACAGGTCGTGACTGAGGAGTTCCGTGGAGCACCAGTGACAGCTCCTCCCTATACGCTGCTTTACAGTTAACAGAAAAATGCCATATACGCTATCTCATCCACTGTCATAGTCCGGGCGGGGACTGTTCCCGTGTGTATGCCACTGAGCTGAGTGCTGAAAACCATGGAGTTGTTTAGCGGTAGAACACAGGTGAGACCCAGGTGTTCAGGCCCCTGAGCCCCGTGCGTCCTGGAGGGCCCGGTCGGGCGCACGCGGGCACAGAGGACACGCCAGCTGCGCGGGGCCGCTGGAGACAGCTTTGCGCAGGTGCCATGGGCAGGAAAGGGCTTTTGAGCAGCGGGTCTCCTCTTTGGCTCCACATTAAGCATGCAGGGAGGATTTGTTAAATGCCCACACCTATGCCCACTCCAGAGATTTGGTTCCATTGGCTGGGAGCCTGGCTGTGACATTTTTATAAAGCACCCCAGCCAGTGCCAGCGTGCAGCCAGGTCAGCAGCGCCACCTGAGAAGCCCCTGGGCACCTGCCCGCTTCAGTGTCTTCTGCGTCTTCACCTTCCCAGGCCCAGAGCAAAGCCGTTGCACTTCCCCAGGTCCTTATCACACTTAGGCAACTTCAACACTAAGATGCAAAATCATGCCCTTGTTTTGAATAACCTGTTGGCTTCTCTGAATTTTCTAATTTAAATGAAAACAAAAGCTGCTGGTGGTGAGCGCGAAGTACAGAGAAACACGCAGGCTAACCACAGAAAGTCGTCCTCGGGAGCTTGGCTGCCCCACTGCACTGGCAAAATCCTGCTGCTCAGATTATTCCTCGGCAGTGGGTACCCCTCACATGCTTGGCTCCGAAAGGATGAGCTCAGAACTCCAATGAAAATTCAGAGGCATTCTAGAGATATTAAAGCATAATCCCAGCTCGGCAAACCTGGGTCGGCAAACTGATTATGCTGCCATAGAAAAAATTAAAACCACAACAGTGTGTAGGCGGGGACTTCTCCCATTTATTGGAACAGTTACAGCAACAACTTCTATCTCTGCCCTACCTGACCCTTCAAAATGCTCAGGATGTGATCCCAGTGAGGGGCTAATGCAAACTGAGAGGAGATGGGCGAGGCCCGTGAAGAGAGCACATCTGGCCGTCACCTGCGCACCTGCAATGGCTTAACAGACGCCAGCTGACCACACTGAGCATCCGGGCTCCCGTCCTGATGTGGGCACTGGTTCAGGCGCAGGACTTCTGCAGACTTGTCAGGTCTATCTAATCTAATGGCCAGGCACAGACCATTTTTAACTCAACAGCAGATAATTGTAATGAAGTGATTCTGGCCAAAAGGGCCCATTTGTAATAATGAATTCAAATGAGATTCATGGAAGCTATAACTCAGGCATAGTGAACACCACCATCATCTCCATATCCTCGCTCTTCCAAGAAGGCAAAATAACTCAATTTTCAAATAATTATTTTTACTTTTCAAGTAGCCCTTTGAAGTAATTATGGGAAAGATAATATTGCCTCACTTACATCAAATGAGTTTCATCCAAGTTCAGACCTCCAGTGTGGTCTTTGCCACATGACTTCCTAACATCCCTCAGTGCAATCAAAGAGCCATCACACGAAAGCCGGTATCTCCAAGGAAGGAAATAATCCTTCTCTAAGCCAGGCAGTTTCTCAGTGGAAAATTCATGGAAGGACCCAGCTCTCTCCATTTCTTTGCTTTTCCTACTTGGTCTCTAGCCTCCAATGGGACTTCGTTCAAGATTTAGACCCAGGCTTGGGATGCTTTGATCCACAGCAGCCACATTTGAAAAAACTTCCTACAGCTGATGATGTGGGAATCATTCAATAATTTTCAATACTTTGTGAACCCTTGATGCATTTGGAACACTAAATTCCCAATCACTCCCGTCCCAGGGACACCTCTGCAAGGGGACTAGAGAGTGACCATACTCAAGAATTATGTTGTTTTAAAATTTAAAAGCAAAACACAATACAAAATAAAACACGATATGCTTCTCTGGTGTTGAAGCTATGGACTTCCAGAGACTGGAAGCCTGGGCTCTCCCTCTGCATACTGACAAATAAGTTTCTCTCTGAGATGGAAACATAACTATTCAGCAACAAACCAAAGAAGCATGGAAAACAAAAGGAGAGAGATCGAGACCCCCAGAAATCTGCAGGAGATATTTATGCTGTTTTAAGAAACATTGTGCTGGTACTGAAATCAAAACCTAAGAGATAAGGGAATGGTAAGGATTAAGTGATGCGGGCAAGAAAGAAGAAAATAAATGACTATTCATTATCACTGCCTTTTGGAAAAAGCATTTAGAATGGAGGCACCTGGTAAAAATGAAGGAAGAAGGTAAGAGAAGACCCCAAGAGGTTTTGGGGAGAAGCGGCTCTAAAGAGATTAAGATGTGGGCAATGTGCTGATTTCTCTCTTTCAGTGCGAAGTCTACAGAGAGAAGCAAAATCAACATGAGACACGTGCTTACTTTTAACAAACGAAGCGTGCAATCAGGTAGCGGGTACCGGTTTTGCTTGTGCATGTGAGGTTTTGTTTTCTCCTCTAAACAAAGCACGAAAAAGCAACTATGCAGCCCTTGCTTGTCTTCACTCCCATGCCCATTCCCAAGCCCAGCTGCTGAACATTAGAATGGAAGATCATGAAAACAGGCCAGCAGCTAATAAAAAAAGAAAACAAGGTAGATTGAAGCTGGCCCTCTGCTGGTGGAGTGGTCTTATTGCCTCCTGGAAAGCAGAAAGTTCAAGCTTTTATTACTCCTGTAACTTCCAGGCGAGGGGAGAGGGCAGGGGACCGAGGAAGTCGCGCTGAGGCCTTAGGCAGCCCTGGGTCGCTTTGCCCCCAGCAGCAGGTTAGAAGACAAGGAGAGATGTGTGGCAGTGTCAGCGTCCCTCCACACCTGCTACCAGTTACCGGCACCTCCCTGTCTCCGAGCCCTGGTGCTTCTCCCAGCCCAGGTGCCACTCATCTCTTAGAGCCAACTGGTCCCCTGCAAATGCGCCCCCTGCAAGTCACTTCACAGGGAGGGGCCTCCCTGAGCTTGTTGGAGGCAATGAAGTAGGCATATTACACTCTACTCTGAGAGAAGCTGAAGGACGCCAAGTAACCAGGAGGCTTTCCGTCTGCTCCCAGGGAAGGAGGTCAGGCTCTGTCCTTGCTTTTTTTCCTCTCTCTCTCTCTACCTGGGGCCCCTGAGCACCAGCAGCCAGGGTTCCTGGACCTATTCTCTAGCTCCAAAGAAAATTTAGCTGAGAACAACCCAAAGTGACAAGAATACAACCTTGGCCCTTGGGCTTAGGAAAAAACAGCTGGCGTCCCAAGAGGCCTTCGTTCCTTCCCCAGGGACAGTCTTGTCTAGATGTAGAAAGAGTTCAACCAGGGGAGCACAGAAAAGACCAGAACGGACACCCCACTCTCTGTTCCTTGGAGAAGCCAGGCTTTTTGGCTGCACAATCTGGGACAGAATGTTTTATTTTCACTATAACCATCAAAGTCATAGTCAGGGCAAACACATTCACCCTGTGTACACTGTGAGCCAGAGTTAAGCTGGGACGTCCCTGAATCTGTCTCCTAGGACCAGAACTGCCTCATTAAAGGGATAAAAGATGATATCTGCTGAGCTGGTGGAAAGTTGTGGCTGCATTTTTATTAAAGTCTCTGCTGCAGCAGGTCCAGTCCCCAAAGGTTCATATTCCGAGCATCTCCATCCCTCTGCCTGGAGCGTGTAAGTGATTCTCTGTAACTCATTAAGGTAAAACAAAAAGCGTTCCTATTGTGCTTTTGCACAGGAGTGACGTCCTTGCATAAAAGCTACATGTTTCCTCTCCTTGGCCTGAGCCTGCAAAGATAAAACTGCTCTCATAATTTATAAGCGGGGCCCAGGAGCACCACGCAGGGTTGACATGGACGGCTGTGTCTTGAGCAGACTCCTAAGGGGCCATGGCCCAGGCTAGCAATTCCAGAGCCTGGATGTCAGGCATCTCTCTCAGAGGGGCAAGCCGACCCATCCTGAGCACTTCCTGCTCCTCACATACCTTGCGTCCTGTGAGACAGCCACCAAGGCCCCAGCCACCTTAGACTAACCCCCAGGGTTTCCATGCCAGGGCTCTCGCGCCCTCACCCTAGTGCCAAGGCAAACGGGTTCTAGCCCTGTCACGGACTCAGAGCTACAACGGAGTCCCAAGCATGGACCTCAGTGTTCACTTGTCAGATCCTGGGCCAGAGGCTCTGGCGCCAATGACACACCTGTCCCGGAGAGGGTGTCCCCTGCCACAGTAGGCAAGGGGGCACCTCTTGAGCCTGCAGAGGCCCTCCCAAGCCTTCTGCTCTCCTGCTACCCTCACCCACAGGATCACGTCCCAGAGGCGCAGACCCCCTGAAGTGCAGCTCCCTACCTGAGGGTGGCGCTCTCCCCCTGCCGGACCGTCACGTTGTCCATGGCTTTGGGGAAGGTGGCATCTCCGCTGCGCACGGGTACTCCTGTGGGTACAAGGAACAGCAGCCTGAGAGACACGACCACGAGGCACTTCCAGGGCAGGAGCAGGTACCCACAGACCCCCATCCTCGACAGCCACAACTCCCGGCGGCAGCGCGGTCCCGGCGGGTGGCGAGAGGACGGGCGGGCGCCCGGCGGAGCAGGTGGGGCGCGGGAGGAAGGAGTCCAGGCTCTCCGGAGCCTACTGGTTCTTCCCCAAATCCTGCCTCAGCTTTCCAGCCTGGCGGAACCAGAGGCCCCTCCTGCATCCAAAAGGAGCTTTCCTGCCGCTCCCCGGGGAGGAGGGAGGCCGCCCGGAAGGGAGAGCGAGGCGGGAGGTGCGGGATGAAGGTCACCGAGTGCTCTTTCTCTGCCTCTCTCTTCCAGATGCTACTTTAAAATTCAGTTGGGCACGTTCTGCGGAGGTCTGGCATCAAAAGTTTATAACCCAAAGAAGCCAGGCAAGTGTCTGACATAAAGGAGATGTCATAAAAAGCTGCCGCCTCAAAGAGAGGAGAGAATGTTTTATTAGATCACACATATGTATAGATGTATTGATCAACAGCCCAAGGCTCCACTCTGGAGCCCAGAGGCGGTGAAAAGTTCCTCGGCGGGGCCGGGCCGGCTGGGCGCC